CAATTACTCATCTGCAAATTCAAACTGAAGCTGAAGAAAATGAAAACAAGTCCATGAGATCCAAAGTATGACCTTGAATATATCCCACCTGAATTTAGAGATCATCTGAAGAACAGATTTGATACATTAAACACTAAAGACCGAAGACCAGAAGAGTTGTGGGATGACATCAAGAACATCATACGTGAAGAAAGCAAAAAGTCATTGAGAATACAAGAAAGAAGGAAAAGGTCAAAATGGATGTCAGAAGAGACACTGAAACTTGCTCTCCAGCATAGAGATGCTAAAGCAAATGGAAGAAATGAGGGAGGTCCAAGAGCTAAACAGAAAATTTCAAAGATCAACTCGAGAAGATAAAGCCAAATATTAGAACAAAATTTGCAAAGATCTGGAATCAGAAAACCAAAAAGGAAGAACACGGTCAGCATTTCTCAAGCTGGGAGAACTGAAGAAAAAAAATTCAAGCCTCGACTTTCATTATTGAAAGATTCTCTGGGCAAATTATTGAACAATGCAGAAAGCATCAAGAGAAGATGGAAGGAATACACAGTTACTGTACCAAAATGAAATGGTTAATGTTCAACCATTTCAAGAGGTAGCATATGATCAAGAGCCAATGATACTGAAGGAGGAAGTGCAAGATGCATTGAAGGAATTGGCAAAGAACAAGGCACCAGGAATCGATAGATTAAAAATTGAAATCTTACCAAAAAGTCAAGCGGCACAAGAGGCACTCACTCATCTCTGCCAGGAAATTTGGAAGACAACTATCTGGCCAATTGATTGGAAGAGATCCATATTTGTGCCCATTTCAAATAGAGGTGACCCAACGGAATGTGGAAATCATTGCACAGACTCTTTGATATCCCATGTGAATAAAGTTTTACTAAAGATAATACAGAAACGGCTACAATCATACATTGACAGAGAACTTCTAGAGGTTAAGCTGGATTCAGAAGAGGCCGTGAAACAAAGGATATCATGGCTGATGTCCGATGGATATTGGCTGAAAGCAGAGAATATCAGAAAGATATTTACTTGTGCTTTATAGACTATGCATAGGCTTTTGATTGTGTGGATCAATGCAAGCTGTGGACATTGCGAAGTATGAGTATTCTGGAACGCTTAATTGTGCTCATGAGGAATCTGTATCTGGACCAAGAAGCAGTTGTTCGAACAGAACATGGGAACACTGAATGTTTTAAAATTAAGAAAGATGTCCGACAAGGTTGTATTCTTTCACCATACTTATTCAACCTGTATACTGAGTAAATAATCCAAGAAGCTCGGTTGTATGAAGAAAAATGTGGCATCAGGATTGTAGGAAGACTCATTAACAACCTGCGATATGCAGATGATACAACCTTGCTTGCTGAAAGTGAAGAGGACTTAAAACATTTACTGATGAAGCTCAAAGAGCACAGCCTTCGGTATGGATTACATCTCAATGTCAAGAAAACAAAAATCCTCACCACTGGACTAATAAACAACATTCTTATCAATGGAGAAAAGATTGAAGTTGTCAAGGACTTCATTCTTCTTGGATCAACTATCAACACTCATGGAAGCAGTAGTCAAGAGATCAGAGGACGTCTTGCATTGGGCAAATCTGCACAAGACCTTTTTAAAGTGTTGAAGAGCAAAGATGTCAGTTTGAGGACTAAGGTGCACCTGACCCAAGCCATTGTATTTTTGATAACCTTATATGCATGCAAAAGCTGGACATTGAATAAGGAAGATCATAGAAGAATTGATACCTTTGAGTTACGGTGTTGGTGGAGAATATTAAAAGTACCAAAAGAACCAATAGATCTGTTTTGGAAGAAGTACAGCCACAGAGTGCTCCTTAGAGGCCAAGATAGCTACACTTCGTCTCTCATACTTTGGACATATTGTCAGAATGGACCAGTTGCTGGAGAAGGATATCAAGTTTGTAAGGTGGAGGGTTAGAGAAAAAGAGGAAGACCCCCAACAAGATGGATTGGCCAAGTGGCAGCGTCAGTGGACTCAAGCGTGGCAACAGTAGTGAGGTTGGCCCAGGATCGGACATTGTTTCGTTCTGCTGTGCATAAGGTCGCTATGGGTCGGTATCAACTCGATGACACCTAACAGCAACAACAGCAGTTTCACTCAATATAATGTCCTCTAGGTTCATCCATGGTATGTGGTGGCTTGCAGCTTCCTTGTTATTCTTTAAGGTAGCATAATATTCCATTGTGTGTATGTCCCACAGTTTGTTTATCCTTCCTTCAGTTTTTAGGCTGTCTCTCTTTTTCCTATGGTAAATAGTGCCTCTATGAACATTGGTGTGCATATATCTATTCGTGTTATGGCTCTTATTTCTTGTGGGTAAATACCAAGTAGAGGAATTACTAGATCATAAGGTATTATTTCTCTTTCCAGACTTCTGAGGAAGCACCATATTGCTTTCCAGAAAGGTGTGACCATTTTGCAATCCCACTAGCAATGCAGCAGCATCCCAGTGTCTCCAAATCCTCTCCAGCATTTATTGTCCTCTACTTTTTTGATTTTTGCTTTTATTGCTGTTATTGTACTCTCAGTACCCCTTCTGCTATGTCCCAAAGATTTTTGTATGTTGTGTTTTCGTTCTCATTTGTTTCTAAGAACTTTGTGAATTCACATTTAATTTCTTCCTTTACCCAGTCGCTTTTTATCAGGGTGTTATTCAGTTTCCATGTATTCGACTTTATTTCCTTGTTCTTCTTATTTTTATTTTCTAGTTTAATAGCATTGTGGCCTCAAAAGATGCTTTGTAATATTTTGATGTTTGTTAATTTTTGGAGGCTTGCTTTGTGACCTGACACATGGTCAATTCTGGAGAATGTTCCAAGTGCACTGGACAAGAATATGTATAGTGCTGTTGTTGGGTTTGATGCTTTGTACACATCTATGAGGTCAAGTTGGTTGATTGTGCTTTTTAGTTCCTCTGTAACTTTGTAGAGTTTCTTTCTGGTTGTTCTGTCCTTTTTGAAATTGGCGTATTAAAATCTCCCGCTATAATTGTAGATTGATCTATTTCTTTCTTCATTTATATTATCGGTTGCTTCATATATCTTGGTGCTTTTCCATTGGGAGCGTAGATATGTATTATGGTTATGTCATCTTGCTCACTTGATGATGAGATAGTGTCCTTCTTTATCTCTTATGGTAGTTTTTATGTTAAAGTTCACTTTATCAGAGATTAGTATTGCCACTCTTACTTGTTTATTATTGACAGTATATTGTTTTCCATCCTTTATCTTTTAGTCAGTTTTTGTCTTTGTGTGTAAGGTGCGTCTCTTGCAGGCAACATATTAAAGGGTCTTGTTTTCTCATCCATTCTGACAGTGTGTCTTCATAGGTGCTTTTAATCCATTGACATTCAGTGTAATCATCAATTAGGTATGAATTGATTTCTGCCATTATGTTAATTTTTGGTTGTTGTTGTTATGTGCCGTGGAGTCGGTTCCAACTCATAGCGACCCTGTACAGGGTTTCTGAGGATGTAAATCTTTATGGGAGCAGAGAGCCTGAACTTTCTCCCGTGTAACAGCTGGTAGTTTCGAACTGCTGACCTTGCAGTTCACAGCCAGATTCGTAACCACTATGCTACCAGAGCTTTGTTCTGCCTGCCTTCTTGTGCTGAGTTAGTGTTTTTGTGCTGTTTATTGTCAATTTCTTCCTAGTTTTCATGTTTCCTTGTTTGCTTGGATGTTCATTTTCATGGTTAGTTGTGAAGTATTAACTTTCTTTGGGGTTACCCTATAGTCTATTAACTTTTTCCAGCATTTAAGTCATTCTATCGTATCCTGTAATCTACCTGACCTCCTCAACACCTGATCTCCGTTGCTATATTTTTCACTTCTTTGACATTGTTATTATTTTGATGTCTGATTGACCTCCCAACTCCTTTGAATTTGTTGTTGTAATTTTCTTCTGTTCTGTACTCTGCTGTCTGTTGTCTGAGTTTCAGGTGGTGTTGCCACGTCTGTCAAACTCTGGTTGTTGTTTGTTCTTGTTGGTTTTCATTCCAAAGAACTCCCTTTACGATATTTTGAAGTACTGGATTGGCTTTGAGAAAATCTCTTAGCTTCTGTTTATCCTCAAATTTTTTTATTGCACCATCATATTTGATTGACAGTTTAGCCTGTGGAACCAGTGGGGCTGTTTCTCTCTGTGCCATGGGAAAACTGTGGGCTGACCACTGGACTCTTTTGAGGTGCACGCCCACTTGCCCGAAGGCCTCCAGGCTGGGCAAAGAAGGCCCTTTCACCAGTTTTAGCACTGGTTTACTGTGCAGGTTGGGCTGCGGTCCTGCCCTCTGACTTCAGCCCAGGTGGGGTTGCTGCAGAGGAAGTCCTGTGCCTTGATCGATTCCTAAATCACAATATTTTCCTTTAACCGTGATTTTTCCACCGGTGGGTGCCGGAAACTGGCATCCTGCATCTTATGCTTGACTGGGGCTGTTCCGTGATAGCAGCTTCTCTGGGTTTTCAGCGCCTGTCCTACCTGACTCTGCTTCTGCCGCCTCCAAAACTGGAAGTCTCCTGCTCACCAATTTTTAAGGGATATTTGTATCCACTCCACTCAGTACCCAGTCTTCGAGGCAGCAAATTTTCCTTGCAGTCTCTTGAAGTAGAGTTTATTTCTAGGTCACCCTTAAATTGGTAGGTAACAATTTGAGATATGAGGTTTATAGTGTCCAGATTACCCACATTGCATAGTTTTTGGTTTTGCTTCCTCTTTCCAATACTTCATATACCATGAAGTCTGTTACAGATGACTTTAAAGCAAATCCAAATCCTAGTTTTATTGTTTATTCCTGTGGGTTCCTGTGTTTACCAGATCATGCTTACACATAATGTGCTTTAAAAAAAAAACAAAACCCCAGCATTTTTAGTTGAATTTCGCAGGAAGGTTAATGAGGATTTATTTCTGTTCTATTGTACTTCATCTGTTTCATGTTTTTGACATTAGCTTTCTTTTTTTTTTGTCTCTAGCTCCCGATATATACTGCACCACCTCTGCAGTCTAACTATATTGAAGAGCAGCCTGGTAATTTGCAGTTGGGCTTTGCTTCCATCCGCCATACGACTGGTAGATACATTGGCTGGTTCAAGGTAAGTAAATTGTGATAATTTAATATTGGAGGTTTCTTATTTGTATTGTTGTTGTTGTCAGGTGCCATCGAGTCGGAACCGACTCATAGCGACCCCATGCACAGCAGAACGAAACAATGTCCGATCCTGGGCCAACCTCACTACCGCTGCCACACTTGAGTCCATCAATGATGCCACCTGGCTGATCCATCTCATTGGGGGTCTTCCTCTTTTTCTCTGACCCTCCACCCTACCCAGCATGACATCCTTCTCCAACGATTGTTTCCTCCGGACAATATGTCCAAAGTAGGAGAGACGAAGCTTAGCCATCCTGGCCTCCAAGGAGCACTCTGGCTGCACTTCTTCCAAAGCAGATCTATTGGTTCTTTTGGCAGTCCATGGCACTTTCAGTATTCTCCTCCAACACCACAACTCAAAGGCATCAATTCTTCTACGATCCTCCTTATTCACTGTCCAGCTTTCGCATCCATATGAGGCTATTGAAAATACCATGGCTTGGGCCAAGCGCACCTTAGTCCTCAAGCTGATATCTTTGCTCTTCAACACTTTAAAAAGTTCCTGTGCAGCAGATTTGCCTAATGCAATACGTCGTCTGGTCTCTTGACTGCTATTTCTGTGAGTGTTGATAGTTGATCCAAGAAGAATGAAGTCCTTGACAACTTCAATCTTTTCTCCATTAATAAGAATGTTGTTTATTGGTTCAGTGGTGAGGATTTTTGTTTTCTTGACATTGAGATGTAATCCATACCGAAGGCTGTGCTCTTTGATCTTCACCAGTAAATGTTAATTAAGTATTCTCATAGTAGGTAAATAGAAAAGCTAGCTATAGACTTGGATACAATGCTATGTTATTAATCTCTATTCCCAAAATACTGAGAAAATATTTTTTTATAAAAGTAAAGCAATAACTATTTATCTATTATTTCATCTGTCAAGTGAACTTTTTGATATCATTTCAGAAATTTAGGCTATTGTAGCTGATTAACAACAATTTCACAGATTTTAATGTCATTATTCCCTTTTTTTTAGGGTGTATATGTCTTTGTGAAAAATGGGATAGTGGATACAGTACAATTTGGAAAAGGTAGGTAAGTAAGTGGTCCACAATTAGAAAGGTTCTTATTTTTTTTTTTTAATTGCATGGTTTAAATGTGACAAACATTAACATGACATGCTATCCATTATCACGCTCTTGCCAATTCATAAATTGATAAAACACTGTGTAGCTAAAAATTATAGCAAAACTAGAGTAGCTACTATTTATTTCATGAGGATTATATATTAAGGCAGTGTGCTTATTAGCATTTTACAGAATTTATCTAATTTTAGTTGTTAGCAATTTTGTAAAAGTTAGTATTATAATTATCCCCATAATACAAATGAAGAAACTGAAGTTTAGAAATGTTAAATTAGTCACAAAGGTCACATAGCTAGCTAGTGGTCAGTGTCTGGACTTACACAGACGCCTGTTTTAACTATTAAGTCCATGCAATGAACTCACAAAGTATAAGTTAAGATGCCTTCATTGTTGTTAAATATTTTAAATAAATATCATTTGCTGTTAACAAACAACAACAGTATTTTGCTATCCCTTGCTAAGAAATAATATGACAGGCACCCCGGAAAATTTTTAGGTTGGAAAGCATGTTTGACTGCAGTTTTTGGTATGGCAAGAGGTATGTTGTTGGGCACCACAGAGTCGGTTCCAACTCAGCGACCTTATGCACAACAGAACAAATCAGTTCTGCATCATGCCCACCATCAATAGCTTGAGCCCATTCCTAATGTCACTTTCCCAGTCCATCTTGTTGGGAGTCTTCCTCTTTTCCACTGACACTCTGCAACACCAAGCATGATGTCCTTCTCCAGGGAATGGTCCCTCCTGATAATACGTCCAAAGTATGAGAAAATATGTCCAAAGTCTTGTGATCCTCGCTTCTAAGGAACATTCTGGCTATGCCTATTGCAACACAGGTCTGTTTGTTCTTCTTGCAGTCCATATACTTTCCATATTCTTCTATAACACCATAACTCAAACGCATCAGTTCTTTAGCTGTCTTCCTTATTCATTGTCCAACTTTCACACGTAAATGAGGTTATTGAAAACACCAGGGATTGGGTCAGGCGCACCTTAGTCCTCAAACTGACATCTTTGCTCTTTAAAGAGGCCTTTTGCAGCAGATTTGCCTAAAGCGATACATTGTTTGATATCTTGACTGCTGCTTCTATGAGTGTTGATACAGAAACCAAACAAAGTGAAGTCTTTGACAATTTCAATCTTTTCTTCATTTATTATGATGTTATTATCTATCGGCCCAGTTGTGAGGATTTTTTTTTTTTCTTCTTTACATTGAGGTGCAAACCATACTAAAGCCTATGGTCTTTGAACTGCCTCTGTGAATTATTTTAAGTCCTTTTCACTTTCAGCAAGCAAGGTTGTGTCATCTGCATATCACTGGTTGTTAATGAGTCTTCCTCTAGTCTTGATGCCACATTCTTCTTCATTAATCCAGCTTCTCAGATTACTTGCTCAGCATACAGGTTGAATAAGTATGGGGAAAGAATACAACTCTGGCACACACCTTTGATGATTGTTATCCATTCAGTGTCCTCTTGTTCTGTTCCAATGACTAAAACTTCTTGGTCTTCAGATTCATCATGAGCACAGTTAAGTGTTCTGGAATATCCATTCCTCCCCATGTTATCCATAGCTTATTGTTTTCCACACAGCCAAAAGCCTTTGCTTAGTTAATAAAGCACAGGTACACATTTTTCTGCTATTCTTTGCTTTCAGCCAAGATCCATCTGACAGCAGTAATGATATCCCTTGTTCCATGTCCTCTTCTGAATCTGCCTTGAACTTCTGGCAGTTCCCTGTCAATGTAATGATATAGTCATTTAAAAATTCTATTAAAATTTTATTTGTACATTATATTAATGATATTGTCCAGTGATTTCTGCATTTCATTGGAATGGGCATAAGTATGGATCGTTTCCAGTCAGTTGGCAAGGTAGCTGTCTTCCAAATTGCTTGGCATAGATGAGTATCTCCAGTGGTGCCTCAGTTTGTTGAAAGATTTCAATTTATATTCCATCAGGTTCCAGAGCCTTGTTCTTTGCCAGTGCCTTCAGTGCACGTTGGACCTCTACCTCTAGTACCATTGTCTCTTGAGATGGTTGAACATCCACCACTTATTTTTTCTTATTGTTGGAGATGTTGTGCTAATGTGTTGATTTTGGTTCTTTCCTTTTGGATGTGTGCACTTATTCTAATAAATTGTCTTCTCAGCACTGCTTTGCCATGCCCCAAAGATTTTGATATGTTGTGTTTTCAGTCTCTTTTGTTTCTAGGAACTTTGCGTATTTATCTTTTATTATTTTACTACCCAGTGGCTTTTGTTGTTAGGTGCCGTCGAATCTATACCAACTTATAGCAACCTTATGCACAGCAGAACGAATAAGGTCAGGTGTTTGTATCCATGTATTTGACTTTATTTCCTTGGTCTTCCTGCTGTTGATTTCTCATTTTATAGCATTGTGGTCTGAGAAGATGCTTTGCAGTATTTTGATGTTTGTAAATTTATGGAGGCTTATTTTGTGGCCTAACACATGGTCAATTCTGAAGAATGTTCCATGTGCACTAGAAAAGAATATGTATTGTGCTGTTGTTGGGTTTAACTGCTCTGTACATGTCTGTGAGGTCAAGTTGGTTGATTGTGTTGTTTAATTCCTCTCTGTCTTTGTCAGGTTTCTTCTGGTTGGTCTATCCTTTCTAGAAAATGGTGTATTAAAATCTCCCACTATTATTGTAGATTTATCTATTTCTTTCTTCATATCTGTTAGGGTTTGCTTTATGTATTTTGGGAGGTTTTCACTGGGAGCATAGATATGTATTATGGTTATATCATCCTGTTCAATTGACCCTTTAATCATGAGATAATGTCCTTCTTTATCTCATGCTGGTTTTTGCCTTAATGTTTTTATGTTATCAGAGATTAGTATTGCTACTCCTGCATGTTTTTGATAACAACTAACTAGATAAATATTTTTTCCATCCTTTAACTTTCTATCTGTTTTTGTCTTTGTGTGGAAGGTGTGTCTCTTACAGACAGCATATTGAAGGATCTTGTTTTCTTATCCATTCTTCCGCTCTCCGTCTATTAACTGGTGCATTTAATCCGTGACATTCAGTGTAATTATCAATAAGTATGGATTAATTGCTGTCATTATGTTTTGTTTTGTTTTTTTGTGGTACTGCTGGTTTCTTTATTCTGCATGCTTTCATGTGCTGAGTTCATGCTTTTTGTGTTCTTGTCAGTTTCTTCATAGTTTTAATGTTTCCATGTTCTTCTTGGGTTTTCATTTTCTTTATATGTAGAGTATTACTTTTCTTTGAGGTTACACTATATTCTATTAACTTTTTCCTCCATTTAAAATAGTCTATATTTTATCCTTCAGTCTACCTGACCACGACACCACCTGGATCTCTGTTCCTATATTTCATATTGTAATTGTTTTGATCATAGACTGACCTCCCAGATCCTCTGAATTAGTTCCTGTACTTTTGTTATGTTCTGGACTCTTCCAATTGTCAGATGAGTTCTGGGTGGTGCTGCCACATATGCCAGTCTTTGGTTGTCTTCTGTTCTTGTTGGTTCTTAGTCCAGAGAACTCCGTTTTGGATGTTTCGATGTGCTGGGGGTAGGGGGCTTTGACAGAGTCCCTTAACTTCTGTTTATCCATGAATATTTTTATTACACCAGCATATTTGATTGACAGCTTTGCTGGGTAGACAATTCTTGGTTGGCAGTGTTTTTTCTTTCAGGGTTTCTATATATGTCTCCCTCTTGCCTTCTTCCCTACATGGTTTCTACTGTAAGATCAGAACTTAATCTGATTTGCTTGCCTTGATAAGTAACACTTCTCTTTTCCCTAGCTGCTTTCAGGATTCTCACCTTGTCTTTTTTTTTTTTTTTTTTTTTTATGGTATTTCTTGGTGATTTTCTTTTGGGGTCTACATTTTTTGGGATTCATTGAGCTTCTTGAATGTTTATCGTCCACTTCTGAATATGACTTGAACCTCTTACAGTTCCCTGTCAATGTACGGTTGCAACTGTTTTGTATTGTCTTTAGTGAAACTTTTCTTGCATGGAATCTATAATATTGTCTAATGATTTCCACAATCCATTGGGTCACCTCTCTTTGGAATGGGCACAAATATGGATCTCTTACAGTCAGTTGGTCACTTGGTCATCTCCCCTCACTTCATATCTGCTGGATAGTTCACTCTCCGCTCTAGTCCTCTGTGGCCATGTCACTGCCTCTGAGCCCAGAAGTTCCCGGGTCTTGCCATATTGCTGGCCATCCAGGTCTCCACCCAGCTTCACAGGGGTGTATTGAATGTGGTCAGACTTAGCTCAAAACTTCAATACTGCTTTTTCCCCCTCTTCCCCTTACTGGTGACCAACGTGGTCACCAGCCAGACCACATGCCTGCTCATGTATTCCCCTTGAGTCTTGGAAGGGGGTTTGCTCTGAGGGGTCCCAACAACTTGTCTTGATGGCTCCCGGGCGAACAGGTTACTTGTTCTTGTAGTAATCAATCAGACTGCCGTTATTGTTTCGGATTTTTCCTGCCGGTCTTTCTTTCATGGAGTATCTTTTGTTCTTCTAGCCACTCCAGGCTGGGCTACTTGTCCTTTCCAGTGCAAATTTCCTACCTCAGAAGATTCTGGGTGGGGTTCTGGATTCCACCTATGGTCTTGTGCAATGTAAAGGCTCCACAGAAAGCCTCTTTCACTGGGCAACTTCTAGCCCCCTTTAAGGGATTATAGACTGAAGACAGACTTACAAACTTTCTATAGTGATGATTCTGGCGATTCCTTTCTCCCTACCTCAAGTGTCTATTTTACAATGGTAGGCAAAGGAAACCAAGGTTCAAAAGACAGCTAAGCATCTTAACATTATTCCCCTCTTTTACCCCTTCAAACCATGCCTCAATCCCTGTATCCCGGAGCTCTGTTGTTCCAAGGTTGTGTATACATCATCATTTACATCTTTCCCACTTGGCTCATGCCAACCTGCC